GTTAATTCTGCAACAGGCACATACAACATAACTGCTCCATTGTTCATGGATAAAAAAATGTGGATGAAACATTCTGTAAGTCAGAAAATAAGAGAAAGGTAAAGCAATCAGAGAACTTAACAAAATAAGCTCCTAAAACCATACACATGGCACCGCAATACTTTACACAGGATAATTTTACAACAGGCACGTCACATAACTATTTCATTAACAGCACACAATTTCCAAATGAACTGCATCTATGTGTACATACAAAATACAAACAACATAAATCTGCAAATGAACGTAAATCCTGAAACATTTGTTTGAAGCATGAAATTTGCACATTTCACACATCAGATATTACACCTTCCCTATGTGATGCAAAAGTAAATTTCACTTAGCTCTACAAAAAAGGTTCATTACCTATCTATGGCCCTCTTCACATAATGAAAACAGATTCTTATTTCAATCCTACTCACGCATTCCACAGTTGAAGATCGTGTTTATAGTGAACTGTACACAACTAAACTCACCATTAAATCCAAATGGTGTTTTATCAGGCTCCACTTAAGACCAAGGAATGTGAGAACACTTCCTGATATGCTCGTATGAAATTTTTAATGCACATGCCATAATTATACCCAGTAAAACCTACTGAAAAGCATTACAATTCCAGTCTTTCTCTAAGAAACACTTTGGTTCCAGCTATTTTTCATTTGAATGTTTTCCTTGTTCACTTTGCAGATTCCCTGGTTGTTGGCAATTATGACATGTGACTTCAAATGGTGCCTAATATGAGAGATATGATATTCTCATGGCAGTGAATGTGAGGGAAGTAGCTAGTTCTTTTTTGATCATTTACAAATTCTCAACATACACATGTACATACCACAAACTACATATCCAATTCCAGATAAAAAGACACCTCATATGTTTGCAAAATAATTAATACAACTGTATGTTACATACATATAAAACTGCTCTTTCTACAGTACAGAATTGCAAATATTTTGATTATATTATTTATACAAAATCATCCTCCTCCATGCAGAAATAATACGAATGTATAATATGAAACACATTTTGGAAAACATGAGTGTTTCTCTCTGACAGTATGCAGCCTTCTGAGTTAATTATCTTCAAATATACACACACACATAAACACAAGTATATAAGTGTCATACAAGTAACAAACTCGACAGAGCTGAGTTCCCTCTGAGAAACCAAGTGCCCCCTTTTATGGAACCCCAAGTTTCATTACCATGATTCCAGACAACACAAACAGTATAACATATCTGTATTTTCATCCCCAAATCTATTCCACACGTTTAACAAGGACCCATCTACCAAGCATACCAACAAAATACATTTAAAACTAAACCATAAACACACAATAAGCAACACATACAAGATTAACATGTAAATGGTATAAGACACTCTTCTTTTAAAGTGCTGTTGAGTCCAAAGCTGCAGTACATTGCAGAGATCTGTACCACATTAAATTTTTCAATTAATTCTGTTCACACCCCACAAATTATAAGTACTGCAAGACGCTTACAGCAAAATATCTTTCTAGACTTCCCCGGGTGAGTAATATGCCAAAATTCACTTACAGATATGGTTTATCATTCATTTCTCTCTTTCCGTTTATATCAGTAATTACAAAAATATTTACATTTTATGAATCCACAGGTTCATTACCATTGTCAAAAGACCCTGTCACCCGTCCCCATACTGAATCAATCCAGTCCACATGCTTCACAGTTTTGCCTTAGGATCCATTTTAAAATGATCCTCTCATCTACTCCTGCATCTTCTAAATGATCATTTCCCTCTGTTTCTTCCAAATAAAATTGTGTATGCATTTATGAAATGTCTCATGCATTCTATATGCTCAGACCATCTCTTCCTGTGAATTACTATTTCTTTAAAATAAAATTTTGGACACCAAGCAATTTTTTCAGCACACAACTTGTGGCATATGCGCCATCAATGAAATATACCCTTTTCACATTCCAAGACAAAACAATTCTAAAAGATCCACAACATAGCATATAAAATAAATATGTTTCCCTTTTGTGTGCAAGATGTATATAATTCAACCACAAGCTGGTGTGATGTGACATGCCCTCAAACACAATTCCAACTTCACACTCAACTTGAATGTAAATACCAACTGCACACAATAAAGACACAACATGCAGTTCACAACTTGGGATCAAGAAAACCATGCCAAACAACAGAAGCACAGCATTTCAAAATATTCTATTCTCTTTAAAACTTTCTAATTTGAGAACAAACATATTTTACAAAAAAAAAATATTCATGTTTTTGCAGCTGTTCATCTAATTACAATGCATGAGGACCTCTAAACAGAGACAATACTTTCACTTTATATAGTTTCTGTAGTCAGCATGGCTCCTGCTCATGCAATAACAAACATGCAACTCTCTGAGAGCACAAAATACAGTCACGTCATCAGCACATATAACATATCTTCCAATCAACATAGATTCCCTCTAGGGCTTCATTTAAAATATTCATTTGCCTTCAATTTAGACATTCATTTATGTAAAATCATGATAAGCTGGAAAAGTAAAGATTGCTTATAAAAATAAACAACAAAATATGAAAACTGCAGTGGTCAATATTATTTATCTTTTTAACGTCATTTAATGTATCAACTGAACATGATGTAGTGTCAAATGAGAGATATTAAAGGAATTGGCCATAGGCTGTTTAAACGTAGTCCCTAGTATCCACATAAAATATCTTACTGAGTTAAGTGCTATCTTTTGTATTCCCTTCTTATCACTATATTATTGTGATGTATCATTAGATATTTCATCTTCAAATTAAAGTAATGAATATACTTAAAATAAAGAACATGAAACTACCATTCAGTAACAATTCAGAAAATTTATATCTGCAATACTAAGTTACCAACTCTCACATGTTGTTTGTTGAGCAAGTGTTCTGAACCTCCAGTTCTACTAAGTCAGTATACATACCTCAATCATTTCCCATCTTCCCAGTTCAAAGCAAAACGTTGAAATATATGAAATACAAATATCTGTAATATTACGTCAAAGCTTGATTGGGGAGGTGGGGGGAGCTTTACAATTGTAAAATGCTTACTATAAACAAGTGTATTTAAGAAAATACTTGAGAAGGAAATGTACAAAAACAACCAAACTGCACTGGCACAAAAGAGAACCTAGAGTCCAATACACAAGCCACATGAAGCTTGAAAAATGATTGACGCACGTCCTCATAATATTCTATCTTGGACTTTTAGAATGGAAGTTAACTCTGACACAGAAGAAGAATCTTACTGCATTTGCATTATTTTCACTACACAGGTGTACGCAACATGTGGAGTTTCCAAACTAAATTAAAACATCCATCTACAGTGAATCTTGACATGCAGCCCATTAAACTGAAAATGGCCTCAAATCTTAGCATGCATGCTGATTTGGCATATTGTAACCAAAGTGTCATGCTATAATGTTGTAATTATAATTTCCACACTGAATAACCACCTTATGCCTCCACTATAGAGCAGTAGATGTAAAACGCTGAACTGAATCATGAAGAACGAACAGCGACAAACAACCACAACAAAGATACAAAGATACCACAACTAGGATAATCTTCCATAGCCATCTTCAACATTATTTATGTGAGCGTGGGAACTATTCACAAAACATACTGCATTTTGTGCAATATGCTGGATCAGTTTAGTCAGACACTTATTTTACAAATATCTATCAATTACTGAAGTTATACAGCACTCAATGGAACATACTATTGCAACTGCCACCAGTAATAAATTAGGTGAATGTAGACAGAAGCAGTGATGGTTCACTTTAAGACATCATCACAGTATTTTCCTTCAGAGACTGAGGAAAATCACAGAAAAAGTAAACAGTCTAGATTTGAACCTGATGTCCCTCAGATGTTACATGTCTCACCAAGGTCAATTTGTCACATGTCAATTTTTCCAACTTGCTCATTATGTAACTTATTCACACTGAGGCCTAGGGAACTGAAGCATGCTTCAGGTATTTCATTCATCATGGTGCCGCTAGGCCACCAATAATAAATGGGTCAATCAACTAAAATCGTATTTAAAATTACAACTGGAGCAGGATCCTCAAACAAAAAAGAAATACTGCATCGATAAATAAGGTCAAGGTAACTGAAACACCTCATGTTCGGCCAAGGGCTGAAAACCTTGCCGCCATCTGTGAGCCGATTGTCTACAAAATGTGGGAATCTCAACATCTCACAACCCTATGGGCCTCCACAGGCTATTACTGGGATACCTTTACTTTTTACTTCACTTTACAGCGGTCATTATGAATAGTACTATCTTCTAGGATGTGACGCTGTGTAGTCCGGTAGAAGTTCACTGACGTTTCAGAGGAATGCATTTCCTCCGTCAAAAGGGTCAAAAGAGTAACTAAGAAAGCAAAGAGCATTCTGGTCATGCCCCAAAAGACAGATTTCTTCATACAGCCACCTCCCCATGGAATGGTCATGTGGTGAAGCCACAAGAGATGTAGAAGAACTACAGAGTACCATCATATTATTCATTTGGAGGAGTCATGAAAACCCACAAAAACCTTCAAAGTAGGTTCCTGTACACCCAAGCTTCCAATAAAGCACTGTCCCACTGCATACCAAGTGTTATCACTGAGCTTACTGTAAATAAGAAACATTAATATCTGTTCCTCAGTTGCTGTGGCATGAAAGTAAGTAAAGCTATCCCTGTAACAGGACGTGGAGGCCCATAGGGTTGTGAGACGTTGACGGTCCCACATTTTCTAGACAATTGCCTCATAGATGGTGGTAAGGTTTCAAGCCTTATGTGCTGGCCACACTTTACCCACAGGAATATTCCTGGTACTCATTTCTGTTAAAAGGCTGACCCCTGGGCCATAGTGTGGCTGGAAGGATTACGTAAATTGCAAAAAAAAATCCACCTCACTGAGATTCGATCCCACAACCTTCCAGCTTATAGCACAGTGCCTCAACCAACTATGCTACCACATGCCCGCTGTGGCATGAAAGATTATAAAATCATATTCTCTTTGTTAGTAAAGAACATAATTTCACACAATGGCTCACACCGTCTACCTTCCATAAATAAATCTTTTCTTACAGACCAAGATGTGGTTGTAGAGCCACTGATTGAGCATTTTTGCTAAACATATTTCAAGATATAATCAAGAAATAATATATGCTGTCTATATGAGAGATGCGCCAGATAATTTGGCTAAAATTTGAATTCCAAATTCAGAAGCAAATTACTTCAGAACACGACAAGAGTGTGAATAAGATTACCATATATGCTACAATCACTGACATCTGATTGGTAACAGGAGGACTACATTCCAAACCACAGTCCTTATGACAATTTCCTCTTCATCTACAAATTTAGAATTTCATTCGGTCTACCAGTGCTACATTACTGTTAAGAATTCAAGAAAATAAGACTGAATAGTAACTTCATATGTAAGGCAAATTATAGAATAGAGAACATATAATTAGATATAACAAAGACAAATTGGAAATGATGAATGAATCATCAAATGCCTTTTTTAATTAAAATTCAACTTAATCACCACTGTTACTAGAAAGACAGCTGTAGGCAGGTGAAGCCTGCTTAGCAATCTTCCTTCATGACTATTAGTAGTAAATATCAATAACTCTCATTAACACAAAACCTGTACTTTTGATTTGGGTTGAAAAATGAAATATCTGCACATACCTAAACATTTCAATTATGCAGGAATATCATTAAATAAATCAATAATTAACTTAATGAATCTGCAAGTCAAATATTCAAAACACAGTTAGAAGTATCGGAATTCACCTTTCTTGCCGAGACGTTCTTTTCTCACCCAATCAGCTGGTGCAGGTGGTGGTATGGGTGGAGATCGGGCAGGACGAGACATTTCTCCAACATCCCGTGATGAATCCTAAATTAAAATTCCTCGTTGTTTTCTTATCCATTTTCATGTTGCTACTAATTTATATTTTTTCATTATTCTACTTCAATTAATTAATATTATTCAAAAGGAGTGTAGAAATTCATGCACATTCTTCTGTTACTGGTGAGGGGGACAAGAAAGTATATAAATGCTGATACATTGTGGTCCCTTGGAAATGATCAGACAACTATCCCACTGAAAATGGTTGAAAGAAATGTAACAACAGCTGTTGTTACTAGCGGCAGTCAGTTTGTTTACATGCTAACAGACTTTACTGGCATTACCAGACAGCATTTCACTGTTTATTTCATAAAGGTACTCACCTGGCTTGGGTAATGCTTGTCATAGCCATGGGGTGGTGCATACAGAGGGTTGCTGAAAACATCATTGGGATCACCACCTTGATAGGGTGTAACTATCGTGTGTGGAACATGGGCCACTTGACCTCGGCAATTTCGTGCTTTCCACCATTTTCTGCTGTCATCCACAACCTAAAAATAATAGTGAAGAAACAAACCTTGCAAACTCTATTTCCTATGCATAACTGTTCACAACAGCCATTTATTCTAATATAATTTTTTTCTAAAATAACTAGCTCACCTCAAGGTATTCCCCTCGAATTACTGTGAGTTCCTTGTCATTATTGGCTGTACGGGGATAAGTCACTTGCACTATTTTTGCACCACGTGACCGGAGTTCATCCAAGAAACGAGCCTGAGAGCGTTCAAACCTCTGCTGTCCCTCCATTCCCACAGCTCCTAACGCCACACCTACACCTCCATTACGTTCAATTGAATCTGCAGAGATGTCACTACGAGCACTAAGGTCACGATCACGTGGGCCTCCTGGCATGTCACGCTCTGAACCACCAGGACTTGGTGAACGGTCTCTGCACAACAGTATTAGAGTACGGTAAAAACAACAAAGAAATTCAGAAGTAAAACCTAGTTACAAGGCAAGGACATATGTTTGTGGCACTATCCAAAAAATAGTGTAAACTAATATTACCTTCAGATTCTAAAGGGTTTTGATGATGGTGGATGACACGAATAATTACTGGGTTTTTGGACTTTTTCCATTGTTCGGAATTCTAGGTAATAGAGTACACTCTAGGTAATAGAGGACACAATGTTTCAAAAACTCGATCTGTTTCTGGAACGTCGTGTCCTCTATTACCTAGAATTCTGGACGATGGAAAAAGTCCAAAACCCCAGTAATTCTGTAATATTACCTTCATTCTGTGTGCCTGTTTGTGAAGCCATTAATATGCAGAGAAACTCTCTGATTCAATTTGGCTAACTGCCATACATCTACATCACTTATTATGCCAACTACAACCAGTTCTTGTCATATTTACAAAAGGAACTTGTTAAATTTAAATCAAGACAAAGAGTATTCTGACTTCCATGGTTTAAATTTATTTAAACTACTGTTTCTCATTTTAAAATCCATTAAATCCTTTTTATGATACTTTATATCTGGTAAAATCTGGTAAAAAAAACAACCTTTCCTCACGACTGTACACATCTTGTCTCGTTCCATAGTTCCGATTGTCATATGCATAGCGCCCAGCCTCTGGTGGAGATGCCTCCTGGTGCTCATATTCAAAATAATCACTGCTGTAATGGGAGCCATCATGCTCTGCCTGCATAAATCACATTACATAATTTCTTATGAGTCAGTGAATTAAATACAAAAATACAGAAAATGGAGTTCTGAAGAACAGAAATATTGTGATATCAATCTTGTGTAACACGTACACAAGCAGAATATGAATACGAACATGAGAGAGGTGTGCATATGCGTATCCTTATTACATAAAGTCATAATGGTTATTTCTCCAACAAAAGTTTACATCAATAATGGAACAAGTCTGAAAATAGGAACTGTTACATACACTGTACTTCTTCAACCATCAGACTGTAAGTCTGTGTTGAAAAAACAGGAGTGATTCAATGACTTCTCAGAAGATTAAATATCTAGTAAATGTAATGGGTCTCAGAGCCTGCATATCCACACAGCAGGCTCAAAAAATGTGCAACATGACACTACCACATCGCACTGTAATATACCTCAATACTGCCCAAGACACACATAAGCTCCTATTTATATGAGAGTCTGTTCCAATGGAAGAGTGAAGTGGCACAGATAATTAAAATAACAGACAATCCAAAGCTTTAGAAATACCCACTATCCATGATGCATTCAATGCTGAAAATCACTTAAAGATTAAATGAAATAATCCTTTAAACCTACATTTTTCTAGCTGTTTTCCCACTGTGTTGAAACATCACTTCTATAAATTACACACCACACTTAACACAAATACAAAAACAAAAATAAATAAAAGTTGTTATAAATTTTTGTTTCAGAGACTTTGTTTCCTTCTTCCTCATTACTGCTCTCAGCCCACTACAATAGCACCTGAGCAGGAAGAACTGTAGCATTCTGTTGTTTCAAATAATTCGGAACAATTCAAGGGTAGATATATTACAAATATTCTTTTTCTGGAATCAAATCTCTTTCATTATCTGATTCAACTGCACACCCTTCAGTTCTTTTACCAATTTCAATTTCAGATCCTACAAACTTCAATGTGACAGCAATTCATGACCTGGGTCAATACAGCCAATATCAAACCACTGTGCATTGCCCTGTCAACTTTTTCACCATTTTCTGTTTTGAAAAATGGTGACTAACTCGGGAGATAAAATACTTTCCTCATCAAACTTCATGTAGCTGTCAGTTTTGTGACTGGGAAGTATTCTTCCCATGACTTGCTAATGACAGATGGTTTCATCATATTCCAGACATATGGCATCTAACAGAAGAGAGCTATATCCAAAATATGTCTATGTTCTTCGCTTAACATCACAGACCAACTTTCACACCCATATAAAACTTCCAGGCAAAATTATAGATCTGTATATTTTAATTTTTCTGTTTCTGGACAGTAGGCAAGTTCTGAACCGAATGGTAGCAAGCACTACCCAAATCGAATCTCCCCTTAATTTCCTCATAAATCAAGTTTTGATTTTTTTTTTCATTTTCAAATATTTGAACCTTGCCACAATTTCAAATGATCTATTAGCTAACTTTATGCTATGAGTTTGCCCTGTATTTTGGTAAGACATCAACCAATACCTAGTTTCCTTTGCGCTTACTTCTGGACCAACCTTCTTAGCTGTATCAATTACAGCATCTGTATTTTCCTTTATGGTAATTATGTTATTTACGATAGATATACAGCGCCAGCATACACCAGAAACTTATGTGTCCAATTTAATTTCAGCCCCACTTGGTTTTCTTGGACCTTCCTAATGGCATATAAATGTAAAAAAGAAAGTAAAGGTATCCCTGCAGCAGGCCGTGGAGGCCCATAGGGTCGTGAGATGTTGAGGTTCGCACATTTTCTAGACAATCGCCTCATAGATGGTGGCAATGTTGTCAGCCTTACGTGCTGGCCACCCCTTACTCCCAAGAATATTCTCTGATACTCATTTTTGTTAGAGGATGAGTCAACCCCAGGGCCTAGTGTGGCTGGAATGATTAGGTCAACTGAAAAAAATCCAATAACCTCATCGGGACCTGAACCCACAACCTTCTGGCTTGTAGCATAGTGTCTCAACCAACTACACTACTGTGTGCCCCTCCTAATGGCATATACTAAAGCAAAACTGAAAAGCAATGAATATAAAGCATTTCCTTGTTTCAGACCACTTTGAAAAGCAAATGTTTCAGACAAATGTTTACTTTTATAATCATAACTAGTTTCATGGGTACACCAACCTCAATGTCAGTCCTGTACAATACTTCTCTCCTAATTGAATCATGGGCTTTCTTGAAGTCTATGAATAGCTGATGTACTGTCTCATTTTACTCCCATTTTCTACAGCATCCAAAGGCAAAAATCTGATCACCAGTTGATCTGTTGTACCAAATACTCACACTAATAATCCCCCTTTCATCCATGTATGGACTTAACTCTGAGAGAAGGGTGACTTCCATTATCATTACTGCCAAACAATTTCTCTAGCTCTGTATTTTAGAAACTGTAGCACTGCTTTTGAGATACCGTATTTACGCGCGTATAGGCAGCACATTTTTTGCCAAAAATTCAAGAGGAAAACTGGGGTGCGGCTTATATTCGAAATCACACTTCATTTAAAAAAAAATTATATTCATAATTAGTAATACAGAGTGTTCTACTCCTGAAATAATATTCCAAGAAAATTATTTTTTCTATAATTTCTGTCTGAAAATTGTGCTGCGGCCTGTACACGCACGCGGCCTATACATGCGTAAATACGGTACATTCTACAATGACACAAATGTAATAATTTACAAAGTGCAACTTTTCATATCTTCTTTATTCTTGGCCTTCTGTGGTATTAGGATTTCTTTTATATTAGTTCTAATATTTTAAATGGTAAAAATGTTAAAGGCCTAATAATTCTAACTATAAAAGTATATCATATGAGCATTTGAAATGAAACACAGAACTCTGGGCTTGGAAGGAAAACATAACTAGAAAACGATATTGAAATTCAATCACGTTACATGTAAAATTTCCTACTCACATCTTCAGCCCGAGTTCGACTTCCTTCTGCTGTCACTGCAGCAGTGGCGGCATTTCCTCCTGAACCAGCAGTGGAGGGCATGTGTTCTCTTTCATCTGCCACTGGATATTCTGGTGACCAGCCATCCAAGAACACTGGATGGTATGGGGCAACATACCCCTTCCATTGATCCCTATTAAAAACATGAAAAATCATGTACCATATTTCAGTGTGCTGTCCACATGCTTAACTAATAAAGTACTACGCCTTGAAGGCGTATAAGGCAGTGTATGTATAAATCCACATTTTCTTGACCTCAGCACTAGTTCGAGGGGAGTGGCCAGCACAACAGCAGAGAAGGCATCGTTGCTTAGGTAGCAAGTATAAACATGTTCCTGTGTTTACAACACATATATAAACAAAGAGTTACAACAGATATAAAAAAGAGAACTCTTCAAGGAGGTGATTCCTATCCCAGCTGCCCAGCAGAGATAAAAGGAGGCCGGCTGAGGGGCCATCAGTCAGAAGTGAATTAGTGTGCTTTTGAGAGACTACAGACTCTTCAAGATTCATCCTGTTATCAAGCAAGGAAGATTTTGCTTTGTGTCTGATAGTTAAAGTAATCTGGAGAGTGTTATAATTAATTGTATTTAAGACTTGTGACTATCCAATAAATTGATTCACCAATGCAAAACCCCATCTACGAGTCACTAATACACATGGCATTAAGCAGAAATATAAGAACAGAACAGAAACTAACAAAATCTTTCCTGAAGGTTAGTTCTTTGAATATCTGATCAGGGCTGACACATGTCTGTCCACTAAAACAAAGCAAGCGTAAAATCACCGCAAGAAAACTTCATTGCAAACTGTACATGCATTGATAATGTTTTTGTAATTTATTAGTTAAACAGCAAACATCTTGTGTAAGTAGCATGTATGACTATGGAACTAGGCTCAGAACCCAGCAAATGCAATTTCACAATACAGAGTATTTCAGTAATACCTTGGAATAAGCCAAGCATCTCCCAGTGAATGCCATAGTTCTGTTTCCTTGCTTGTAACACAATTGATGAGCAAGTTCACAGCTTCTCTGGTAAGCAGGGGTGACACCACTTTCGCTGGTAGGTTAGGCCCATAATGTGTGTCATGTGATGCATCCACAATAAGTGCCAGTGGTGTGAACAAGAAATGGACCAGCTCTGGTGCATTTGGATCATGAATATGGGCCTTCAACTTGGCCTGTCAAAACAATTTAAAGAGATTACACAGTACATCATTTGCAGATATGACCTGCCCTTAATACACCCATTACGAGCACCTGTGAAAACAGTAACCAACAGAATACCCTCTTCAAACATTTTTTTTCATATATATGAGACAGGATAGGATGGTATGGACTGGACTGATCTCACCCAGGAGAGGGACCAGTGGAGGGCTCTTGTGAACATGGTAATGAACCTTCGAGTTCCATAAAATCCTGGGAAATTCTTCAGCAGCTGCACAAACAGCAGCTTCTCAAGAAGGGCTCAGCTCCATAAGTAAGTGAGTAATTACATACAAGGGATATTCAGAAAATAAAGATATAAGTCCAGTAAAAATGCGAGGGAATTTTTTCTTTCCCCCAGAAATGGCAGTACTGCCATGCGAGTTCAAAATCCAACCAAATGTGAGCTTCATGCAGTAATTCAATTTCTTCATGTGAAAGGAGAAACTGCTGCTGAAATTCACTGCCAACCTGTTCCTGTTTATGGTGAAGATGTTATGAACAGGCAAAACGTGACAAAATGGTGTCATGAATTTGAAGCAGGAAGAAGTGAAGTTCATGATGAAATAAGGAGTGGAAGGCCACCCATTGTTGCTGATGAAATCATCCAAAGACCTGATGAAAACATTCGTGCTGAACTCTTAAGGTTCATTACTGTGTTCACAAGAGCCCTCCACCAGTCCCTATCCTGAGCCAGATCTATCCAATCCATACCATCACATCCTATCTCTTTATTAGCCTTTCTAATATTGTCCACCCACCGACATCTTGGTCTTCCCTGTGGTCTCTTTCCTTCTGGCTTTCCCACCAATATCCTATACACATTCATCTCCTCTATTCATGCTGCATGACCTAACCACCTCATCCTCCATCCTCTATATACACACACACACACACACACACATAAAACGTTCTAATTTAAAGAAGAGTAAAAATGCACATACTCACTGCTGAACACAGCTTACCAGCAAGTTGAATGAAAGCTTGAACTTCTGGAAGATGTCTATAAACTCCAGTTCCGGGGGTGGCTTTGCTCGCATAGTCAGCATACCGTCTCCCAAATCCTTTTTCTTTGACTTTCGGTTCCTTTAAAGAGAAGATTATAAAAATGCAGTGTCTATGTGACTGACATTTTGTCTGAATGATCATTAGGAAGTCCTACATTTTGCACATTATATATTGATAGTAAAAGTTCAAAAAACTATGATTATTAAATAATGACTGTTAACAAAGGAAGGTTAGGTTATGTTAAGTTAATAACTCAAGTATCTTCCATAATTTCAGTAGACACAATTACCAAAAAAAAAATGCATAAGATCCCACATACCCAGCCTGTGGTTCAGTTTGTATAACTGTTCTATATGAAAAGGACATGACATGAGCCAATGCAACCCACCACAAATATTTACATAACTGAACACAGTGTATGCATAATGATTCACAAAGAGAATAAACAATAAAAAGGATTAAACTGAACAAAATCAAATTTCACACACTTGCACACAAACAGTGACAACCACAAACATAACCAACCTGCGCCTACGTTCCAGCTCTCTGGATGCAGCTGCTGCATGCTGCAATCTTGCAATAAACTTTTCGATGTCATCAAAGCAGTGGTTCAGTATTGTCACATCACGCTCGTACTTTTCGCTGGAGGTAGAACTCACTTCATCATCGCGGTTATGAGCCGGGAATACACCGCCAGTACCTGCACCAAGATCTGAATGTACTGAGTCTATAAATGTAAAAATGAATAAATAAACAGATATTTTTAGGTTTGTATAAATGTAGATTAATTTGGAACATGGATTCCACCATAACAATAATAGAATTCACAGAATGTGTAATGCAAATAGCATTTAAATAAGTTCCCTTCAAAATAACCAAGTTATGGGCATAATGACTCTGCTCTAAGCCACAGTAAAACTTTTATAATTTATTTCAACCCATTATCACATCATTTATTCACTAGTTTATTACACTATTACAAAACATTAGTGAATAAGTGTCAACAGTAATGAAATTAAATAAAGGATACTTAACAGTGATAGAGAAATTTATTTAATTAAAACCTGTTATAACAGTTGAAGGAAGAAAGAGCCATGATCAAAATAAATTCTAACTGCTCTGCCTGAACTCACAGTTCTTGTAATGCTTAACAAATCCTCTAGTAAACTGTAAATCTGCTTCAAGGCTGATCCAACTAATCAAACCATTAACCATAATATGGTATCAAATATACAGGTATTAAAGAGTGTTGATGAGTGAATTCATGTTAGAAATGAAGATATTCTTTCATAAGCTTATGGTTAGTATAATTTGTAAACAACAGGGAACATAACAATAATCACTGTAATGGTGGTATCATATCATATGGTTGTTCATTTTTATATGCTTTTAAAGTTCTGCATTAACAGGGGCTTCTTCGGACTTCATAGCCTTGGCTACAAACTCTGTAAATCTGCCCTCATACACCTCTTCAGAATCTACCTAGTGGTATAAATTTAAAATTACTCGAGGACACAAGCAGAGCCCACACTCATGACCATGTAATTCATGAACCAAAGTCACCTTCACAATTCAGAACAGATTTAGTACAGTTACCACAATTTAAGAAAATGAAATATGATTCAATATGCCTACAATATGTGTGTACGATCTGTCTTCCTTTTACACTTTATCATTATTATTTATAGAAATTAATTTATATTTCTGAAACAAAATATATACAATGAGACACCCAAAACTTTCTCAAGTTCTTTCAATGAGAGCAGGCAGACTTGGACCTCATCTAACCAATCTGACACCTGACTTGTTATTGAATTCAGATTTCACTTATGGCCCTTAATAGAAGGCATACATTTGCATCTGACTAATCTCAGTTTATCCAAGAACAACTTGCACAACAAAACTGAAAAGTGATGGCTACTGTGTTAGTATCATAAACATTTTAAATTAATGAGACTAATAAAAAACTGTCACATCAATTTCAAAATTTCCAATTTTTATTTACAAATTGATAAGCAAATTACAAAATATACATTAGGCCCTAATGAAAACTTTAGGAAACATTACTGAAACTCTCAATGACTCACCTGAATCTCTCCAACATGCAGGGAGACATTTTCCCTTACCCTGAAATCCTACAGACTTAGAATCCCAAAACCTGTCTGAACAGTAACTACTATTGGAAGCCATCAGTATGGGGCATATCTTGAGTTCAGACACCACACTTCAAACCATAATTTTATGATTACTTTTTATATAATTCCTTGGAATTGGCATGTAACAAATATTCAGAGGATGAACTGTAGAACTAATGTTAATGGACTGAGTATGTGAATACAATACATGATGAACAGAACTGGGTCAGGAAGTTCCCAGCCAGTGAAAGTTGCTGCCATTCCACAGGCTACCACATATAAAAAGGAGTTATACATCTGGAGTGGAGTGGGAGGTAGGAGAGAAAGAACTGTGAGAGGGAAAGCAAAACATGGGGAACCAGATAACAAGCCATGTGATTACCTAAATCTTACAAAAAGAATCATTATATCTACTAAAATAAATTGTCTCAATGAAAATGAAAATGAAAACGTTCAATTCCTTAATTTCTTTTACTGATCTGCAGATAATATTCAGCATGTTTCTAACATTAAAAAGAGAGACATGCACAAACAGTTGCTACAACAAATACAGTATATCAATGACCAGAGCCAAAATGACAGCAGAGACAAACCAATCAACCACCTGAGGCAGCACAAAATACAGATTTTCTTTCTAGTTCTTTAAATGAAAATTAATTTATGTTGATATTCATACAAATTGTAGCTTGTAATTGGTTGTAATTTAATACCATTACAGAACAGTGAAATAAAACCGTTTCAAGAACTACAACACCAATGATGGTTTTCATCACATTGTCAATATTAATAACCATGACAAAGTTTTGAGGATGTTCACCTGTTTTTAGATTGGAAGGTGGAGTTTCCTTGTCACCTAACACAGAATTTATCCATGTACCAGCCATGGAAATGTCCCTGATCAATAATAAATATATATCCTAATTTTTTAAAATCATGCAACAATAATACACTTTTAGACAGCATATAAAGGATACACTTTCTACAGTTTCTAAATGTACAAAAATTACATAAGGTGCTAAGCTATGCCATGCTGTTAAGTGGACAATTCATTACCAAACATTCACTGTCTGTAGATTTTGATCTTGCGTGATATGCTGTCGAATTTAGCAGAAAGATACCATTCTTTCAGAGGAACACTGGCACTTGTCTACCAAACTACATGGCATCAAAACTGATTTTTTTCAGAGAACATATTCTTTATAAATGATCCTCAACACTTCAGCCCCCATCACAAACGATGGGTTTAAGATTGTCTCAGTTACCTTTTATGCTATAAATCCACTTCAAAATGCCATGTACATCACAGACTACTCCCTTACCCCACCAAAACAAACATTACAAATTTACATCCAGAATATTATGTTTTTTTTATTGCTAGTGGGGTGGGACTAAGTCCCTTGTACTGCGGCCACTTCTGGCCTATTGTACCAGCCCCAGATGATAGGTGAGGGTGATTGTGGAGCAATTGGTGGAATGAAGATTGGCAGGGGAAACCGAAGTACTTGGAGAAAACCTGCCACAGCGCCACTTTGTCCACCACAAATCCCACTTGATCAGACCGGGGATTGAACCTGGGCCGTCGCGATGGGAAACCAGTGACTAACCGCTTGAGCTATGGTATGGTCCTATATCCAGAATAACAAAAATATTATTTTGGAGTTCAAAACATTTCTTTCCCCACATAGTGGGCATTCTGGGCATATCTCAGATTTTGATTTTGCAAGTACTAAAGAGAAAATTCAGGCCCCTAACTTCCATTAATTTAAATTCTCATGTTCCCGAACTTATTCCTGCACAAATCACACCATCTAAACATATGAGAACATTTAAAAACAGAGAACTACAGAGTTCAAACTTCTATACTAAATATAATCAACCTTTAATTTTAAGGTTTTTATACATGCAATCTGAGACAACTTTGTTGCGCAGAGCTGTGAAAGAGTGGGTACTGATTACAGGAAATATGAGAAAAATGTTAACATTTTTAACAGACTGAAAAACATCTAAATTAGTATCCCTGATAAAATAAAGAATTCAATATGAAGCAGGAAAGAAATAATCTCTCAGTAAATAAATCAAGGATACTTACGGTGAGCTGCCGCATTAAATACAGACACTTGTTCTCGGACATTGACCCCACTGCCTGGAGGTTCTGGGGGAGGTGTGGCTGGAGGAGGTGGGATATGCCGTGAACGTCGGCGAGCAGGAACTTTTCCGGCTCGTAGCAACTTCAGATCTTCAACCAAATCTTGGGCAGAAATACTCTGACACTGAAACAAGATTATTTTGCATATTAATATGTCTCCTGGCATGGGGAAAAAGCGATTTGATACAAGACTAAGAATTTTACATAATGTTAATTTCCCTCTGAATAGTGTATGGAGCAATAACACCACGAATATCCTTGTGTCCTATATTTCAGACAATCCAATGAAACTTAACAACTTATAAAATCCGTAAGCACAGAATCAGTTATAACATGAAAATGAAATCTAAATTACTGAAAAGGTATCAAGAAATAAGAATCTGAAACTGCAATATTCACATCAAAGTGTTCTGCAGTTAAATAAAATGTAATAATGTAACCTCTGCAACCAAAATTACATAATGTTGCTAAGCAGACTGAAACAATGCTTCATCTGGGGATTTTTCTTGCAGTGATTGGTAAATTTATTATATTTTCTATCAGTTCTCACTTCCCTCAAACACTATTAAAATTAAGCAGAATAAGGCATATGGGATTACAGCAATTGGAAGTGAGCCAACTTTTCCAGAGAATATATTTGGGAACAAAGTTCTATCAATTCCACTAGAATAGAAGTTATTTTCAGTAGTGATGAATTACGATGTAAGAAACTTGCCTGAAATATGTGCATTTCAGAGCGTGAACCTAAACGTTCTGCCCGTGCTTCACCCACAATGAACACAAGAATGTTGTTATACATCTCCATGGGATCATGACTTGTGAAGGCTGTAGGTTCCTGGATCAAAGCAACTGGGAATCTCTCCATCACTGCCTGTATAACAGAGTCCTATAAGTAACTTCTCTCTCATACAGAGACATATACCACTGGCTGCTTGTCACCGCCAAGTGCACCCTTTATGACTCATGATCTTACACTTGACTCACATATTAAATCAGACATTTCAGGTCTGTTTCTTGGTGAGGAAAGACAGTGTTTTTGATTTGTTTCATAGTACTAAACATCATTTTCATGGCAGGACTGGAAAATGCGTAAATAAAATAATGATAGCTGATTGTTTTATTTACATCTGAGGTACATAATTGCCAAATGTAATACAAGAGGCACACCAATGAGCAGAACTTGACTTCCAAGACATCAGGTATGCAATGCTCTGTGAACACTGTAAGACAGAAGAAATAAATCACTCACAATTTTGAGTGGTCAAGGAAAACTACAACTGGAAAAACTGAAATTAATGCCATAAAATGGGATATATAAATGAAGAAAGCAGTCTTCTGGGATGTGGCATCGTATAGATATCGTGTTCCTCCAAAACGTCGGTTAATACAATATGGAAATGTGTTTACTGAACTGTTGCACAGTAACAGCCATTGTTTATTCGCCTAGCCCACTGTGACTGCTAAGCAATGGCTCTACACACTACAATACCATACTGAAAATATAAAAGGCATGTCTTACCCCAGTTTCATAATCCATGATAAGTACCCATGACATGTCAAGCCTCAATTGCATTTTCTGTGACCAAATTCCATTGGACTTTTCAAGCTGAAGAAGCCTACGCATACCATCCGCTGGGTATACAATGCCAGTTTCTTTGGCAACTGTAAATGTTGCCAGATGCTCCATAAGATATGTGGGTGCCTCTTCACCAATACCACTCTGAGGGCCATCTGTCAAGAAAATTAACACTATCTTCCGTATTACAATAACACAAAAAAAGCCCACCAAAAGCGTTATAGAAGAGACAGAAACACAAGTGATGGGGATGTTAACCATTTACAAAACTGACCCTATAGATGATGCCACCTTAACATAGCATATACGAAATCTATGTTTAGTTTCCTCGCCAAATTCTAAAATTATTATTCTCCTTCTACAGTTTGTCTAATTAAAAATATACAATCCACTACAACATGTGTAATAAATATGGAGTGTCCACGAGAGAAATCCAGGTGTCAGTAACCTAATATTTATAGCGGCCTCCGTGGTCTAGGGGTAACGTTCCCACCTCATGACTCAAGGTACGTAGGTTCATACCTGGTGGAGGTCATGGAATTTTTAAGGGCAGAAAAATTCAGGGAACAAGTCCTCCGGGTGGGACTTTAAGCCGTGGGTCCCGTGTCGTAGATTTACAGCACGTAAAAGATCCTCATGTCTCTAGGAGACCTCTAAGCAAAATTAGGCAAAAGTTTCCTGCCCAAGTAGTTTCCAATGCCTCCAGCAGATGGGGAAGTATCGGGTACCACTGCCAGCCTCGTTGGCTGAACAGGGCTGATAGCGAGCACCAGTATCGGAAGGGCATGGCGACATACAACAGACTATTAGTCGCGGTGCATGGGCAAACCCACCCCCTCCAATAATAATAATAATAATAACAACAACAACAACAACAATAACCTAATATTTATCGACATATAGGTCAGAGGACAGTCGCAATGGAAAACTGCATCATACAACGCATCAAGTTTCACATATGAAATTGGTCTCATGGAACAGTACACAGCTTTTCGTAAGAATGAAACAAAAAAAATGATAAAAGAATATCAGTACAAGTCAAAGTGGGCTTTATTCAAAGCCCTAAAAGCATGAAGATATTCAAGCTCAGTCCATACCCTGGGCACCAACACAAGTGTAATTGCTGTTACTGCTGCCGTGGTGCTCCAGCATAAGCCACAGACATTGTCAACCCATTTCACAAACGAAGGAAAAAATGGAGCAGTGTTGCATTGGGGCTTCTTGTGAGATGCCTAACTTGGAAACTGTCATGTAACTTACATGAACAGGAAACAAATGAAAGGGAACTGCCACAGTGCTGCTTCGCCCATACGCAGTGCAATGTACTGCATGGCATAGTACAATGAAACCTGAAAGGTTTTTCCATTCAATGTTACTATCTGTGATTTTGTTAGCATCACTAAATACTGGAATGTACTCTTCAAACGCCTAAATTCTTTCTCTGACATCCTGTACAAATATGAGGCTCAACTCAGACCTGCAACCCTACATAATTTGCAAGATATTTTTACACAAACATGCATGAACATAATGTATTCCATAATTATGTGATCATCTGCTGACTTAAAAAATTTCTCATCTGCTGTCCCTTTGGAAGATGTAGGTGCATGTTTCTAAATTCCTTCCAGACAGCGTTTATGGCTGAATCGAAGATGTTACAAAAAGTAATGAGATATGAGTAATGAGTACAATTCGTAGGGAATTTTCCATTATTGGGCAATTCTGTTTATAAGGGTGCTTAGCATTGTGTAATACCATTCTGTTTTGATTGGTTAGCTGGTTGAACACAGCTCTGAATTCATTTAAGAAGGCTGAGAACTGCTCTGATATGTTGCGTGACTGCAGGTTTTGTGAGAGTATTTGGGAATAGGGAGGTCTCAGGTTCAAATCTTAGTCTAAAGACCAGCCATCCAGACTTCAGTTTTCCTCAGTCCCTCTATGTAAATGCCAGTTAGGCAACAAATGCTTCCTCCACATCCTTTTCAATTCATCATTTACTGATCATCTCACAGTTCAACACTGTACAATTTGAGCTAATGAAGGTACTGTTCAATAAACCGCAAATATATTACCTGGCGAATAGCCATTGGAATGTACACTTGAGCGGTGGTATGACATCATAGCAGCGTGGTCCAGCGAATATGTTGAGCTAAAATAAAAAGGAACAAAGAGAAAGGCATTCAGCCTGAATAGAAGACAACACACATATAAAGTTTTAATCTTTTTCCGTTCACGTACTGATACCTCCACAACTGTTAGATCTATCAAGATTAAGAAAGCATATTTACCCTTCTTAACTGTGTCTTGATCAGTAAGTTCCTACAGTGTTAAGAGAGTGATAACCAAACATTTCCAATGCTGATAAGATTCCCAATATGTGAAACATACATAAAAATAGCTTTCTTAATTAAACTATGATTAATGTAAATCAAGTTTTGCATTATGCTGGGCAATGTAATATTACTGCTGATGTACTGTAGTTGCATGTCCAGTCTCAATTTATCTATAGTGAGATCCACACACTTCTTATGCTTCCTCCTAGATTACTTATTCTATATCAGATCTGATTACGAGATACAATTTTATTAACTGACAGAACAATAGACACATGATGAGAACATGAAATATGTAACAAAAAAATGTAATATTTCCACAAATTTAAGTTAAAAAAATAGAAAATTGTTTTAGAAGGGTACACAACATGATGCAAGGCAGTTAGTACAGAATTGTAGTAAGAATCAATTTTTCTTTCAATAAAATGGGTAGAAAATGCTATAATATGGAAGTATTTGTAATTGCAATGACACACTCCAAATGGAAACAGTGCAAAGATCTTTGACTGCTACGCAGGGCTACTGTCCATACTGCACACAACGTGGGCCTCCTCACATACGACACATACAGGATGTAACTAAGCTTCCTTTTTGCACAAATATTATGTTTCTGGACATTATCCATCGCCCTGTCTTTGTCTAAAATCACTGTCCTGTTTATTTTTCAAAACACAACGTTTTGGAGACTGGATTCTGTCTCCGTCTTCAGGTAAAACCTACTCAGCTGGGCCCAAATGACAGAGTTAGTTCCTATCTCTGGACACCTGTGCCATCACTAAGATGGAGTATACAAGCCAAACACACCACAAACCATCTGCGAGAGCTAAGAAAACGTTAAATTATAAAAACTCCATACGTATGAGGCCTTGCACCAGAGAATTATCATGACAGAAATTATCACTGGAGAGGATAAATACTCCTTACAGTGCCAACACAAGAAAAACAGATTTCCTCACACAATTTACACTTGAAGGAGTTGTAGTGTTTATACTTTTGCTGTGATGACGGGGGTCCAGATGGGACAGACGTTCAAGCTGGGCTGACTGAGCGGATGGTCTAGCAGATACATGTGGGCACTACTGCCACCACTGTGAGAACCTCAACTCCAACAAAATATGTGCAATTTATCTCCCTCTCAGTACCACATACAAGCCAAGAACAGAGGAAATGTCTGACAAACAAGCTGCAGATATTTCATCAAGCTCATTAAGCAGTACAAAAGTGACAGGAATGCCTGGCATGACTTCTTATTGCTAAACTTCTGATGTAAATCTGACACCAGGGTGTGAAAAGATACATCATTCTCAATGGAGTAGCATTTGATATGCTTACCCTCATTCAATTAACCTGGCTGCTGAAAACAGGAATGCCTGGCATGACTTCTTATTGCTAAACTTCTGATGTAAATCTGACACCAGGGTGTGAAAAGATACATCATTCTCAATGGAGTAGCATTTGATATGCTTACCCTCATTCAATTAACCTGGCTGCTGAAAACTTACCTATAGCTGTGTGCGTCCCAGGGAAGATCCGGCGACAGGGGCAGCTGCCCTTCAACTCCCGGCATGACTCCCCTCTACTCCAGGGGCTAAAAGGTAAAACAATCATTCCTGGATTGCAATTATATCCTATCACTAAAGTAAGCAGATGAAATTTTAATTTTTGGGTTGATATCAGACAATGCTATAGCAAGATATACTCCTCATTCACACAAGGTATTCTGAACAGAACCATTCGAATGTGTTTAAATGCACAAACGCAAGCACCAATCACTGTCTTACAATCTATCAAAAAGCTGAAGGCAGTTTAGACTAACCAATGCTCTTTCAGAAAAATATGTAGAATTAAGAAAGGAAAACATGTAACACAACTGCCTAACCAGCAACATGCCAACAATTTAACTTCATTTATGCATAAAATAAAATTAAAGACCTTATTTTTTTAACTACCAAAATGTACAAAGACAATTTTCTAATGCTAAAGTGTGCAACTTTATGATATTACATGATCCATATCTTAAAATTTCATTTGTAAGTTATAATAACATTATTACATTATTTCCAACAATAATAGCATCCTCTGGCCAGTCAAAGATAACTGAGGACTAAGGACACAGGGCGTATAAAGAATCCCACATGAGAGCAGCAAGGTCTACATTAGGCATACAGGCCATTCCATGGACACCAGGTTGAAGGAGCGTTACCAGCACATCTATCTAGAACATCCAGACAAGTCAGCCGTGGCTGAACACAGCGTCGACTTGGGACATCACATTCAATTTCACAATACCTCCATCCTCGCCACAAAAATCCAATACATGGATCACATCGTTAGGGAGGCCAGTGGGATTGAAATCCTTCCCAACAATATGGACAGAGAGGTTGGTTTTTATCCCAGCAAGTTACAGAAGCCTCTCATCTGCTCCCTCAAGAAACCTCCTGAACATTATGCCGGATCTACAAGGCTATGCATCTCTAAACTCGAGGCTCAGGGTCAATGCTCACTCCGTAGCCCTAGCTCCCCCCCTGACAACTTTCCTCTACCTGCTGTGGCCCACTCTCCCTTCCCTCCATTCTTATTTAGCTGGGTGTTTTCGACTGGCAGCTCAGTCTACTGGCCACCTCTCACACTGGTTCCTCGCTCACGAATTTTTCTAACCTGAAGATGGTTAATGCCGGTTTACACAAGATATATGGGGCGCCACATTCCAGAGGACGGCATTCATCATTGTCACAGCAGTGAAAACCTCAAATCCTACACAATATTTCCCATACTCCATAAACTGGATTGAATATCTCAACGGAGACAAAAGACACCCAGGAAACATCACATGCCTCTCTTTAACCTTACAGGTCACAGATGGTTGCAAATTTGCGATACTAATACAAAACCACGGAAAGAAGGTGAATGAATCAACCCCTTACACATCTCCCTCAAGCTTTTACACTCCACCCTACAGCACAACCCTCTTTACTCCAATCCAGTTGCACAAGAATCCTGTCACACAAATGTTGATAACGAAAACCTACATTGGCTGGTACAGCCCAATGGAGGCCTGCGGGGAATAAAACTGTAAGCAAAAAAGGGAAAGTCTCAAGTTCCATTATCCCCAACTATCCATGGAACTTTGTTACTCTTATGGATGAACATCATGTTCACAAATATGCAACATCCTTAATTCTTTGAACAGTATGTAAACTTGCATCCTATGAATTAACAGAACTTCTATGCTTTCATTTTGTCATTCAGCTACTCATAGTGGTAAATGTTCTTGAAAATTAAATACCTGCTAAGATGTGACGATAAAAGGTCTGCAAGGAAGGGAAAGGATATATCTACAACCCACATTAAATATTTGAACTAAGTCATTCTTCAAACATGTCATAAAATATGTAAGATCTGAGGCTTTCACGGCGGTGACTATGAAGAAAGCAGTCTTCTGGGATTTGGCACCGTGTATATGTGCTTTCTTCATGTCATAAAATACATGGCAAAGGACACAATGCCCTTATCATAAGAGCATTTGGGCTGAATCACTACATTACATCAACTCTAATAATCTTTTAATTCGTGGAGATAATAAAACAAAATTTCAGAAAACTGCACGGAGGGAACTAAATAAATCATTTGACTTCATAGGGAAGAAAGAAAAGACAACAGGAAATTCACTTTACCTTGATCTTAATATTAAGGTTTTGAAGTATCATAATCTTTCAGGATGATACTTCAAAATAAGGTACTGAATATTTTTATTCACATACACATAATCCTTAAATGTCTTGTGTGTAATTTTACGTGAGACACTGCATAAACAATTACAATGTGACATGATGCCTGAAAGCCAGAATAGTGGAGCCAATGCCAGATATCTGACAATAAGCAATGGCTAAGTTTCCATGACAACAGATTGCACGAACATGTCATTCCCAGATAAAAGGTTCTAAAGAAATGAAACAATTATTTGAGAATGAATACATGGATGACTGTGGCAAGGGATATACAGATTACAACAGACAAACTGTTGTAGTGGGTGCGTTCCATATGGTTCTCCCAAAGTTGCAAAAGGAGAGGGATTTGCCAGAGAGATTGAGAATTCAAGACTACAGACAGATTCATCGTGTTACAAGCTGGTAGAGCAGTCTGCATTCGAAGTGTTATGTGTGAGATATTCAGTTGCAGCTGAGAAGCCGTCAGTATTAACACATACCACCACAGCGTAACTCTGCAGCAGCTGGAGGATTTAACCTACATTAAGACATAATTTCTTTATTGTAATGAAATAGGTTGTGTACAACTGAAACAAATGCCCCACTGGCTTCAGTGGATATGTGCAGAAACAGAGGGTGTCTTCCTGTTATGTCTTACTGTCCTGGACTTTTAAATTATAAGTAATAAATATTAGTGCAACACACCCTTAGGTATTACATACTAAACTCTCTTCATTGATCATACCAGCATCTGAACTCTGAGCTGGGGTAGCTCAGTCGGTACAGCAACTGGCTACAGGCTGGATGATCAAGGTGTCGGAGTTTGAGTCCCATACTTTTGAGAATGGGATTCAAGTAGGAACTGATACTCATGTCCATATAAATCTGGCCAAGTTTTTGTATAAACTGCAATCACTTATAAACCGCAATACTGCTTCCTCGTAAATTATTAACATTCTATTTTATTTAATTTTGCAATATTGATGGAAGGCACAAATGAATTCCTTCCAGTTTCAGAAGGCATGTCAGAAACTGAAACCGTAAATGTTACCTTATAAAGGATCGATCATTCTGTTCGGTAACAAAGTTTACATATATCTACTTCAACTTCCAAAATTAAAAACAAATCACATGTACTACGTACTACAGGTCAAGCAAAGTAGTAAACTCATACTAAATGTTATTGCATTTAATATTAAGCGGGAAGTTAGTAATACATTCGTTAAAACGAACGTCCCGTAGCACAAACACATGTTTGTCGTTCCTTACAGAACACCACTGCTTATTCCGGTCTGTCACAATAGCAAGGACCAATATGGGAAACAAGCCGCGCCCAAACACTACGCTTTGGAATGTCACAAATGTTTGAAGGGCATGACACCAAATGAAGGCTCGGTAATAGCAATCCTTTGCAGTGTACACTTTACACACTTTCTGATGCCTTTGCTTCGTCTGCAATGAATATTTACTTCACAAAAACTAGTGCAGAAGGAACAGAGAACAATAAAACATAAATTCACATAATTTTACTTCAACTTACATGGTGATAATAACTAAACTCCATATTACGCATCCAGAAACTTTCACGTATTCATATATTTTACACCAAGATACCAACTTCCCCACCTCACTTCAACACCGCAGTACAATGTTATAACCCCGTTCACTTATGATCACCACGTAATCACATCAGCATCAAAACAAAAATGCATATCAAACTGAATCTACAGGTGTTCGCAGGTGATTTTTACCTACGCACTTCCCAACCCACGTACACAGCAGCACTTCATGTCCCCAACACTCCATTACTTTGGTTTGGCGCTAGTGTCGTTCATTCCGTTCACAGCGGCTGGGTCTCCCCCCTCCCAAACCCAATTAATATTGTGGTATTTACAAACCATTTTAGGCTTAATAACGCCCATGTATTCTAATTAACGATTTAAATGTTATCCTAGAGCTTGGTTAAGAACAGATTTCTGAGTACCACTACTCTATAAGTTGTACGAAAGAAAGCAATGAATTTATTGCCCGAAGGTATTTGAGGCTCCAGACATTCTCACGTTCAATGTAATTCATGCTGGAATGCCACTGCATGAGTTACAGTTAAGCGAAACTGCAGGAATGAGAATAGAAACATTTATTTCTAATTCAATGATTACAAAACAATTATGAAGTCTGATTTCCTATCGTTCCTTGCCTGTGCTGTACAATCCCAACATGATTACTTTGCAACTGTCAATATATAATTTTGATGACATTTTTCTCACCAAATTTTTCAGTGATCTTCCGTTCTGGAAGCAATAAAAGCGCAAATTCGGCAGGGAATTTGCACATTCCTAACAAGGTAACAAATTCAAATGGCCACTGGAACGTCTTTACCGAGATGTTGCCTAGCAAAGGTTGCAGGATACATAAACTGACTCACACGGTCTCCTTCGATGCTACACAGACCGCACAGAAAATGACGCGTCCAGAAATTCTTCTATTATTGCGTGTACTCGTTGCCGCAGGAACGTGTTTACAGAGCAGTTAGCTTGCAAAGATATGTGGGATACTATTTTCGTTTTTACATTTTAGCTCTGTAATTGAATGGCAGCACACGTGTAAGTGATGTAATAGAAAGATTAGACGCAATTCTTGACCGACCCATTCCTTTCAGGGCCACGGAATCGTGTTTGCGTGTTGATTTATTCAAATCACTTTACTACGCATACACAATGAGGCGTCGTTTCTGCCGATACAGTTGTCACAAGGCTGTGGACGTGGCCTTGGGTACTGCACATACGTATTTCATTAGACTGAGGTGTATCATGCAGTGTCGGATTACACCTAAGGTTAAATCAAGCTCCAGCTGAATTCTACAGTGCCCCCAAAAGAAGTTAAATTATTGGTAACATGTGCACTAAAAAGTGTTATAAATATCCCTGCTACTTAATGAATTCACAAAAATTGTTCCAAATGAGATGCTCCACGTTCAGTGCACAATGAACAACGCTGTGATATCGATCAACAAATTGATAAACAGGTTTAAATCTGAACATTCCTGTTAATACCTCAGAATATTTTATGTTAAATGAATTTTGAGCCGCTCTACACATGGGCGCCGAAAGCATTTTTTTTTACAAAGGCGAGGGCAACCAATTTTTGGAAGGGGGATAGAGATAGTCCGACAATTTGGCTACAAACTTACATCTGTGTCGTTTACGATAATTTCTGCTGAACACCCTGTAGCATTTAATAGGGAAGAATTTATTGAAATACTTACAAGGTTCGGCACTATTTTTTCAATAATTCAGATGAGGGGGAAAGGGCTCACGGTAGTGTAGTTGATGGAGACACTATATTACAAACCGGCAAGTCCGAGGCTCGATTCCCAATAAGGTATCTGAATTATTCAATTTAACCTAATCCTTCCAGCCTCACTGTGGCCCTGGAGTCGACTCAACCTCTAACAGAAATGAGTAGCCAGAATCTTCCTGAGGGTAAAGGGCGACCAGCCCGTAAAGCTGACAACCTTACCGCCATCTGTGAACCGATTGTCTAGGAAATGTGGCAGCCTCGACGTCTCACAACCCTATTGGCCTCCACGGCTTGTTACAGGGATGAAAGTAATGATAAAGTTGTCCCCTGTGCTTACTTAATTAAGCACTAAGGCATGAAGGCGTACGGAGGAGTGTATATATAGATCACATTTCCTTGACCTTGGTACTAGCTGGAGGTGTGTGGTCGACTTCAGGCCCCTGCATATTTACCACCGGTACCTATTGGAGAGGAGGCTGGGTGGGTCCCGGAACCGGTCTGGACGACGCGGAGAAGTGAAAATTCTTGACCCTATTGGGACTTGAATTCCGACCCTCGGTCGCCCAGCCAGTATCCAGTCGCTATACCGTCTGCGCTATCCCGGCTCCTCATGTTAAAGGGGTAGCTTTACTTTTTCCTAAACATCAGCATTCTCGTTATAGTTAAAAACTAGATATTTGATCAGTAATGAATTAAGAAGAAGCATTAAAGTATGTGACTTTCACATCGTAGTGTAAATAGTGTTGCCCTTTGAAATTAGTTGGAGCATACAAATATATTTCTATAACACGTCACTCTTAGTCTAAGCGAAGCATATCTGTATTTTATGGGGTTAATTGGTATGATGAACATGACACGAATTTCAATCGCCTAAATAAAGCCGTTTTCTAATTCCTTCTCAATTCAAATGAAGTATGCGAAAGCATCAAAATACGAGGGGATGCTGATAAGTCTTTCACTTTATAAAAAAACAACAATCTATGGGATTGAAAAAAAAAAGTATTTTCTCTACATTTTTCCCCTTGAGCTCCACACACGCTTATGACTTCCTTGTTCTAACTTCTTTCTGATCAGCACTGAGAAATTTGGGAACCCATTTGGCTGAGAGCTTTCTCATGTTTAAAATCTCGTGAATAATATAGCCTGCTCGTTCTCGGGATATCGACAGGGTCTCTGCTTTCCTTTTAATGGATATACTTCAATCGTCCAGGATCATGGAATGAATGGCATCCACATTTACTGGAATTGTCGCTTAAGTTCGTCTTCCAGAACGTTCTTCGTCTTCAGTGCTTAAATGTCCTGTTCTAAGCCGAGTAACCAAATTCTTGACTGTGGAGTAGGAAGGGCGTTTATCACCCAGTGTAACTGACATATCAACATAAATATTTTTGTCCAAGTTTCCTTTTAGGAAAATATATTTAATCACGGCTCCCCACTCGTTTGCAGTGAAATTTGTTGCTTTGCGCCATTTTCACTTCAGATCGGCAACAAACCTTAATTAGTAAGGCTACAAATATGTGGCCGCGCCATAGCTCAAGCGGTTAGTCGCTGGCTTCCCACCGCGGCGGCCCGGGTCTGGTCAAGTGGGATTTGTGGTGGACAAAGTGGCGCTGGGGCAGGTTTTCTCCGAGTATTTAAGTTTCCCCTGCCAATCTTCCTTCCACCAGTTGCTCCACAATCACCTTCACCTATCATCTGGGGCTGGCACAATAGGCCAGAAGTGGCCGCAGTACAAGGGACTTAGTCCCACCCCACTAGCAATAAAAAAAAGGCTATAAATATGAAATTTATGTCAGACATATACAAAACAAACTTCGATGTGATAAAATTATTATTGGTATAAAAGTATGTGAAATAAGAAAAGCCAAAGACTTATTACCACCCCTACGTATTTCTCTGTTTGTCTAAGAATTTCCTTCTTTATCGTCTGCTCTAAGATATAAAAGTATAAGAAGAAGAAATATAAAACACTTCATTTAAAGTAATACAACAAACGTTACATACCACAAACTGTATAAAACTGCTCTGATGCGGAAGCACACTAAATCACTCACAGCTGAGCACTGTTATCCTACACAACGGGAGGTACTCTAGTGGCAAGCTTAAGTGAGTCGTTATGGGCCTACGTTATCTGCTGGAGAATTATCTCAAGATCTTACATATGTGATATTGCAAAACACAGTACAAATTAACACGTCTTCAGTCCAATCCATGACGTTAATATCAAGAACAACTATTCAAGCTGGAGTCATTGTAATATGTTATAAGCTCATGTACAAAGTCTCAAATTCGAATCTCGGACACGGTATCTGCTATCATATCCAGAGTTTTGATCTGAGATCAGGTTATTCTCAAATCATTGACGGAGAATGCTTGAATAATACACTGAATTAGGTCATAACGCTTCTTCAAAAATTCTTCCATATTCACCATACACTCTTACTCGTCAATAGCTAAGCCTACAGTTGATTCCATATCGTTAAATAAAATACGGATTAGTTCAGGAAGGATTCTTCCGAGAAGTTCCCCTGGGATTGGGCACCACACAATGCAAGCACACATGACACGTGGAGGTAGAGCTTCAAGAATTGTAGCCAGTGCCTCGGAAACAGATGGAAGTGGGTGGCCAAATTTACCCCTGTAACAGGCAGTGGAGGCCCATAGGGTTGTGAGATGTTGAAGTTCCCACATTTTCTGGACAATCGGCTCATAGATGGCGGTAAGGTTGCCAGCCTTACGCGCCAGCCGCCCTTTACCCCTAAGAATATTCCTGGTACTCATTTCTGTTAGAGGCTGAGTAGACCCCAGGGCCATAGTGCGGCTGAAGGGATTAGGTAAATTGAAAAACCCAGATCATCGGGATTCGAACCCGCGACCTTCCGGCTTGTAGCATAGCGCAACCAATTACGCTACCGCATGCCCCAAATTTACCTTTCGTCCTGTGAACGTTGAGTAGAACAGCGGAGCGCCAGAGCCGGCCATGGACTTATCTCCATCCCACGGGAATATAAATGGGATCGAGCTGCCGTTACCCAGCTATTATCAGGGTCATTTCTCCCTATTCTTATTCCAATTCAGTATCTGTCCTCAGAAATGGGCATGAGTCAACACTGGGAAAGGTGATAAGATGAAATTACACAATTCCTTGGAATTTAAGCATGCCTACAATACAACTCGCCGGCAACAACGAAAATTAACACACACAGAAACAATTTTTCTCCGCATTTTACAAATTTGAAAATTGTCTGAGCTTAAGAAAAAACGGTGATTTTTATTACAATCATTTATTCGGCATCGAAATTTATACTATTCAAAAAACGACTTGTGTCCTGGGATCACTATCTAGTGTTCTCATACTGTCACGATTTATGTGTGACTACAGACGGGGTTTGGATTGGTGAAGCGATTTACTGACCACTTGTACATACCACTCAGAACTACAAGCAATTACAGAGCCACCGCTAATCTCTAAAATTCACAAATTACCAGAGCAT